GGGGAGGGAGACACAAGGTGGGGGGGGTCAGCCCGGCCAGTATGGCATCAGCTCCCACCCTAGATGAGACCCCTTAATGCCCTCAGCTCCCAGGGTGGTGTCATGGGTGGTGTCACATCCCACCCACAGCAGGCTGGGACAGTTCCGTAGGAACACAGCCACTCCTCCTGTGATGTTGAATGCTGGGGAGCGGGTGTGTGGAAGGGTCCTGTTCCCCCCCCTCCAAGCAGGGGGAACACCAGCATGTGGGCCATCCCTATGGAGCACCTGGAATGACAGCAGCCCTAGGCTGCAGCAGGGATGCCCGGGTAAAAAGGGCAGCAAACGTGAGACCAAAAAACCTACCCCCCCACCAGTTAAAAAAACCTCTGTAAACCAGCAAAATCCAGCCCCGGGGTGGGAGGGCAGAGCAGCAGGGCCTGGGGGGGATGCTGGGCTGGGGTGCTTATGCAAAGCCAAATCCAGTGGGCAGCCCCAGCCGGTCGCTAATCCTGCAGGGCTGGGATTAGAGCGGGTACCCGGCAGCAGGGAACACTATTTTCAGCTCCCGGTGCTGCCCCCGCTGGCTTGAGCCCCCGTCTCTGCCAGGGGGGGTGGATAAGGGACCATCTCGAGGGGGGGCAGCCACATCCCCTCGCCCTCCGGCACCTTGAAAGGCGATCTCTGCGGCTCCTCTGGGCCAGCCCTGCGCCATTTGGCTTTGTAACCAGAGCCCTCCCAGCTGCTGGGCTGGGATTACTCCATTTCCGAGCTGTGTCCCTCTGCCCTTCCTGAGTGAAACCCAAGCCCTGAGCTGTCACGGCACTTCCCGAGGGGTCGTGGCCAGTCCCCTGCATAGTTTGAAGGTTGCCGGGCTCTGCTTTGCCAGGGAGGGATGCTCAGCCACTGCCGAGCCTTTCCTAGGCTGCCACCTCCAGCTCCATGCCCAAAGGGGATATCCCACCACCGCTGAGACAGCAGCCATCATCCCAGCAAAGGGCATCCAGGAAGCTCCAAGCAAAGCCAGAGGTCACCTGTGGCCTGGGCCATGTCACCTCCCGATAGCATGAGGAAACCAGAGGCAAGGGAGGGGACGGGCAGAGCCTCTGGGAACAAAACCACGGCTTGGAGAGGAAGTGGGTAGCAGGGCCTCTCCCTCCACAGCCCCAAAAACCCAAGGTGATGCCATGCAATGCAGAGGGGAGCTAAGGACTGACGCTCCCCCCCAGGGATGCTGCAGCTCCCCAGACTGGCAGGGCTCAGCTTGGAAAGCTGTGGGAGCTCTGACTCAGCACCACAGCCCATCACTGCAGGGACAGATGCAGGTGGCAGCTTCTGCCACCCTCACCTTTCCGGAGGGGGAGGTGAGGGATCTGCCTGCTGCCTCTGGGACTGGTCCCTGCGAGAAGGCAGCTGCCTCAAGGGGAGAAGGAGCCACGAGACCCCAGTGGGAAGTAGCAGGTTTTTGCCACGCTGGTTCCCACGGGCCCTGAGGAAGCAAGGTCCAACCCGTGGTCCACAGCTGCAGCAAGGGGATGGGCAGATGGACATCCCCACCTCCCTCCCCACAGCTCAGGCTTCACCTCTGCTCTGCAGGGTACTGGTTTTCAGACATCATCTTTGGCATGTGCACGGGCGGGTGAGGTGGCCGCGGCACGGCGAAGGTCTGCTGCCTCTGCTCCTGCAGCCTCTGCTCCTGCAGCCTCTGCTCCTGCAGCGGGTGTGGGGCTGGGGCTGCCCCATGGGTGGCTGCTGGAGGTGGCAGTGGCAGAGCTGAGCCCTGCTGGGCAGGGGACACCGGTGTGGCGGGTGGTGTTAATGGCTTGAACCCAGCGGGGGGCTTCCTGTCATAGGCACTGTGGAGGGGAGAGGGGTGATAGCCATGCTGGGTGGCTGAGGAGCCAGATGCATCCCCGTGCTGCTGCCCCAGGGCTCCATCTGTGTCCCCACTACCTACCAGCAGTTGTAGAGGCACTTGTCCCCGTAGCTGGCACAGAGAGCCTGCTCGTGGCTGCAGGATGACAGCTCCGAGGAAGGGCTGTGCAGCTCCCGCTTGATTTTTGCTGGAGGTGGGGCATGCAGGACCACTGCAACGAGAGAGGAGATACAGGCTCACCCCACAGGGGATGTCACCTGTGGAGTATCCCCCTCCAGGTTCTCTTTGCTCAGGAACGGGGTGAACAACCCAAGGCAACAAAACCATGCTGGGATGATGCCCCAGCAGAACCTGACGTGCTGGTGGACTGAGCCAGGGTGGCAGGCCTGACTTCTGCAGGGCTCCCAGGGCTCAGACAGTCCCTCCAGCCCATGACATTGCTTATGAAGGGGGAATCATTCCCCACTGGGATCCAAGAGGGATCGGCAGGGAACAGCACAGACCTGTGCTCACAGGGCTGTGAGAGAGGAACAGGCAGCTGAAAAACAGCCAGGGTGCCTAGGCTGGGCCAAAAGCCCCTCAGCAAGGGGAGATGAGCCTGGGCACGGCAGGCAGCAGCTGCCTTCCTGAGCTGTGGGGCAAGAAACAAAGGGGCTTGACAGCCTGGAGCTGCAAGAACCCGTGAGCAGGACACAGCAACCTGCTCACTCTAGTTCCCAGCTAGCCAGCCAGAGAGTCAATAAGTGGCTAAATAGGACCCACCTTCCCTCAGCCAAGGTCCTCCAAGGTGACCCAGTCCTGGGGTCCCCCCCAGTGGTAGGAGTTCAAGTGGCAAAGGTCCCACTAAACCCAAATCCTTCCACGTTCCCCAAGCCCACTCACTATAAATACATTTTAAACCGAGTAATAAATGCTTAACCTAATTAATTTCTAAAAGCGGGCGCTCTAGGAAAGGGAAAGCACCTCGGAGATCTTTACCTAAATAGTGCCTGCAGGGGAGAGCCAAGGCTGATCGGAAGTGGAGTATTAGCTTCATGCAAAGTCTAAACACAGCCCAGCTACACCAGAGAGGAGCAAATAGCTCCGAGACAACTGTTCACAGCTTGCCAGGTAATTAGCTGCTCCCCTAATTTGTCAAAAGCTTTAAAGAGCTGCTGGCTCCCCCCTCTGCTTCCCCCCACAACGGCCCAGCACAGCTGGTACCAAGGGCATAACCCGTCCCCCTAACCACCCCCAGGAGGATTTGAAACACGAAGCCCAGCGCTGAGCCAGCACAGCCCCCCCCAGCCAGATTTATCCCCTTCCTCCTCCTCCTTTTCACCCCCCACCCCCCCAGAGGGAGGTTTTGCCACTCTCAGCATTTCCAGCCCTCACGGGGGGCCAGCCCAGCGGCGGCAAAGCCCGGGCACCCTCTGAGCCACGGGGGACAGCAAAGGGGAACTGGCTGTGGAGGGGTTCCAGCTGCCTGTAGCAGGCATGTTCCTCCCTAACAGGCTCCGTGTTGTTGGAGCGGGTTGGTTTTTTTTCCTGCCAGGCGTACAATGGGGCCCGGTTATTCATTGAAGAAAAAGGGAGGCAAAAAAAAACCAACCCACCCCACCAACCAACAAGTCTCAGAGCAGGCACCACCCTCCATTCACAAACAATTTGAAGCGCTCCATTCATGCGGCCGGGGAGGAGGGAAAGAAGGGGGGTGGAAGGGAAAAAAAAACAACAACCAGAAGAAAAATTTCCCCAGAGCTTAGAGCTGCCATTCAAGAAAAGGGAAACGAGCTTTAAGATCCTAACAGAGACCAGCTGGCCAAGCCTGGACTTTGTGCAGCGTTTGGATTCCTTACACAAACAGCGTGCGGCCGGGCCGGCGCTGCTCGGCAGGACATGGTCTGCCTGCCAAATTCCTTCCCAGGCAGGGCAGGGAGGCTGGAGCACCTGGTTACAGGGGGATGGAGCTGCTTTTTGGGTCTCAGGTGAAGTGGCAGGAGGGTTCCCAGGAAAAGGGATGCCCTGCCCCATTACCCAAAACTTCAAAGGCACGTTTGGGTGCACAAGCGTTTATAACCTTTCCGGTCCTGTGCTTTGCACTGTAATTAAAAGCTAAAAAAAAATACAAAAATAGGCAGAGTGAACAACTTAACTATAGAAAGGGCAAGGGAACATGCCATGGCACACCCACGCTGGGCCTGAGCCATGGCAAGAGCACTCGTGGGTGCTTGATGGCCCCTCACTGGGCTGCTGTAGCCCCTGGGGATGGAGAGAGCCCAGGGAGGGCGGCACAGGGACCTGCCACGGATGCTGCTGTGCCCAGCTGGGAAAGCAGCACAACCAGGGGGGAGAGATGGGGAGCTCGGGTGTACTTCCCCCCACTGCCACACTGCCAGCCAAGCTGGAGATGCCCCAAGTGTCAGCCTTCAGCCAAGAGGTGTCCCATGGGAAATGTCACCCCCCAAAGCTGTCTGGGGCCTTGAATCGCCACTGAAGCCCCTAGTGGGGGACCAGGCAGGTTGTTCTCAACCACCAGCGTGGCAGAACTTCTAAGAGGCCAAGCCTGGTGGACGCTGGCTTTGCCAGCAGCACCCTGAGCCAGGGGGAAGGTGACCAAACCACTATCCCCAGCCTGGACACCAGCCGGGCACTTTGGCACCCGCTCCAGCCGGCACCTGGGAGCCACACTCTCCGCCTGCCCCTCCATCCTCGGCGCTACAGGACGCACCCAAGGTCACACCAGGAGAAGAGCCAGAAATAGAAGCCAGGCTCCTGCTTTCCTTTGTTTAAACAATCCTTCCTCAGAAAGAAAACCTTCTGCTTTCATACTGGTGTGTAAGACACCCACTCTGCACCCTGCCAGTGGCTTGAGCCATGTGCTGCCCATACAGGGGGCCATAAGTTTCCTGGCAATAAACCCCTACAAAAGGCAAAGCCCCTTGAGGTGCTTGATTTGTCCAGCACAACACCATCACTCTCCAGTTATTTAAAAAACAAACAAACAAACAAACCCCAGAGATACAATATTATCCATAAACCAGATCCATAAACCAACAGGACTGTTTCACCAGCAAACCCAAACCTCAGCCCAGCGAGGGCCAGTACGACACGCTCTGCAGGAGCCACCCACGGCCTCCTTGCCTTCCCTGGAAGATCTGCCACTTCTCCAGTTAGCTTAAAAATCACCAAATTGCTCTTGCTGCTCGGTCCAGGAGGCTGAGAACAAGGCTTGCTTTATTCAGAGGAGCCCTGCTTTCCCCATCTCCACCGTGGGATTTCCTCCCCAGCGCAACGACCGGCCTCCCCCCCCAGCACCTTATGGCACTTTGCTGCCAAAGCCCAACTTGAAGCCCACATCTGCCAGAGACCTCAGCTTCAGAGTCAGGAGCAGTGAGCAGGCAGCAGCTGAGCTGCAGGCAGCTGTTATGCAAAGAGGGTTTTTTTTTTTAGCAAGGTGAGAACCACACTGTAGTTTAGAGCATCATTCCGAGACCCAACACGGCACATATGGCATGGTGCTCCATGGCAATGGGGTTAAACTGAGCCTGGAATGCCAGGGCTACAGAGCAGGAGCTGGTTTGCTCTGGATAAGAGAGAGGAGCAGCTTCCTCAGGGAAAAGGCAAGGAACTACATCACGGCAAGAACCAAGTCCAACGCATGCCAGCAAACATGTATGGACTAGGGAAGGATTTATCTTCCCTTGGGAGCTAAACAGGCACTGAACCCCAAGGTGACCCCCAGCCTGGGGAAGAAGAACATCCCCACTATCAAAACCAGGGTGCAGGGGGCAGGCTGCACCAGATTTTTCTCCTTACACCCCATAGTCTGGTTCAAAATGAGTGAAATGAGAGATGGGGCCAGGAAGCTGTAAACTGGAGACTCTCTCCTCTTTGAACCCTCCAGTGCTGGTACCAAAGTGCCAGGCTTCCCAGTTCCCATCCACCCCAGCCTGAGCTCCCTCCTAGCTGACACAGCCCTCTGCCTGACAGTGAGGGAAACCTTTGCCTTCTCTCCCCCGGAGTTAAGGAAGGTTAATACAGTGGGGGAGTCATGCAGGGAGATTTCCTTTCAAGTGACAAAGTCGTTTCAACGTTTAATGCCTGCACTGCAGAGGCCAAGCAGGTCAGGATAACATTGAAGAGTCTCAACCCCCCCGGAGTTAAGGAAGGTTAATACAGTGGGGGAGTCATGCAGGGAGATTTCCTTTCAAGTGACAAAGTCGTTTCAACGTTTAATGCCTGCACTGCAGAGGCCAAGCAGGTCAGGATAACATTGAAGAGTCTCAACCCAAAGCCCTTCTCTCTCTCCTTTTCCCCCTCCCCTGAAAAGTTTGTCTCTTCTCCCTAAGCTCTTCAGGTTACAAGGAAACAAGAGACTGCCAAAAGGCACTGGAAACAGCTTCAGCTCTAGGAGCCACCCTCCCACGCACGCTGCAGTTTGTACCGCTCGGAGCAAGAGCTGCTGGGCTGTGCTAGGATGTCAACAGCCAGTTTGAGTTCCTGACTCTGGGCTTGCCTTTTATCTCAGGGGAGAGGAGGGAGGGGGGGACGTGGGGGGAAAGTGCATCGAAAACTTGGGCTGTCTGGAACAGTTTAATGGCAAACTTCCCACTCAGAAGTAATCAAAGAGCAATAATTAACATGCGTTTACTGTCGGAGAAGATCCCCTGCTGCATGCTGTGACAAAGCTGGAATGAAAAATCTGTTCGACTGCAGGCTAAATTTGATTTCCTTCAAGTTCTGTAGCTGTCTGGCTCAGCAGCAAAACCCAGCTACCAACACCAAGCTACTACTTCTCTTTGCCAGGTAACGACTCAAAACATCCTGCCCCCCTTCCTCTCCAGCCACGACTTCAACACCAGCAGAGCCAGAGCCCTGCAAGCACCACATGCCATGAACCAGCCCCTGCCCTCCCTGCTGACCCGTTCCAGCAATGAAACACAGCTCAAAAGCAACTCTTGCTCTTATGCAATTCAAGAGGGACTGCATTTTCACTGGCCTCCTTTTAAACACGCTTGCTTGCCAGTGATTAATGCTGCTTAAAGCGGCTCAAGTTTCACCGCTCAGGTCTGCTCTTGCCAACAGTGCTGGGCTGGGACTGTAAAAAGCTCCAGAAACTGCAGAGATTGTGGCTAACCAAGGAGCCCAGCACAGGCTCTTGCATCCACTTGAAAAGGAGTGTTTATAAGCAAATCAACATTACTACCAACAAGCAGCGAGTCTCAGAGGAGCCCAGAGATCAGTCAGAGACGGTTCCATGCATCTGGCTACAATTTTTCCCCATTTACAAAGGGCAAGACGTTGCAAGTTTCAACTCGATGAACCCAAAACACATGTGTTTTCTCCCCAGAAGTTCACGGTTTCACAGTCTCAGCCCCAGCAACAACCACCTTCCCCAGGAAGAGGCTCCAAACCCAGCGCGAGGGTTTCGCACGGACACCCAAACATTTCCCTCTCCCCGGAGAACAAAAACCAGAACGATCACTTACAGTTGTCAGACTGGAAATCTGGGACAAATTGTTCATCGTCGGGGACCTGAGCTAAAAAATAAAAATAAAAATAAAAAAAAACAAGAAAAAAAGTGGGTTTATGGTGTTTTTGGTTCTCAAAAAACGGCTCACGGGGAAATTTTACCCAACAAAAATAAGAGGTGAAGACTTGCCTTCAGCTAGCCAGGCCTCTTGGAGCTGGCTAAGATCCTGGAAGAGCTCTGGAACAGAGTGAAAGACTTATGCACTCCACAGAAGGACAAATAAAACTGCCATTATTCACAGGATTATTTCTAAACCAACGCACACGAGCAGAGGGGGGCTGGTGGGGGCTGCTGGGAGGTCACGGCTGCCCGGGCCAGCCCTGCCTACCTTCTGAGTCGTGGGCCAGATCAGTCTCAAAAAATTTCCTTTTCCTATCAGCCCCCGGCCGGCCTCGGCCCTCCTCTGCACAGGACTTCTGCAAGGAGCAAGGCAGGAATGGCTGGGGAGGGTGGCACCCCCAAGGATGGGGTATCCCCAGGGACGGGGGGTGCCCAAGGACAGGGGGTCCCCAAGGACGGGGGGTCCCCAAGGACGGGGGGGGTCCCCAAG